TGCATGCAAGGCAACACTCCACCACTGAGCCACCTTCCCAGCCCCCATCATCTGTACTCTTACCTTGGTCTCTGGTTCTGAAAGCACCTGGTCCTTGGAGGCTCTTGTTTCCTTCCCCTTGGTTGAACCCAACCTACAAAGAAGGTCAAACTCAAGAACAGAAATCACTACAAAACCCCACCTCCTGCCCACTGGACACTCAGGGAAGGAAGCTGGGTACAGGCTGTGGCCAAGGCTTCCAGGAGGCTCTACCTGGGTTCTGCTGGTTCAGAGAAGGAAGAAGTGGATGCAGTGGACGAACAAGATGTGGTGAGAGGAGAGGCTCCCACTCCTCCAAGAGGGAAGACCTCTTTCCGGAGACAGGGTCGGGGTGGTGGCGGGGCTCGGGCCATTTCCCCACCACCCACAGTGTGTCGCCGAGGCCTTGGCTGGCTTGGCTGGGGTGGAGCAGGGGGCCAGGTGTAGCTGACTGGGCCAGCAGGCCCCAAATCAGGGCAGGAGTGGCTTCGGCCTAGAGAGAGCTTAGGGGAAGGTGCTGGGGTACTACAGCCCTGAGTTCGCCATTGGTGGATTGGGGGCCGGGGGCTGACAGTTGCAGTTTCCTTGGTAGCCTTGGACTGCTCGGCCTCAGAGATGGCAATCTTCAACTCTAGCTTCATGGGGGGTGATGGGGGTGGGGGCTTTGGGATTTTGTTGGGTGTGAGGAAGATATCAGTGAAGCTCTCCAGCTTAGAGCGGACGGAACGGAAAAGGGGGGCCAAACTCCAGGGACTGAGGCGAGGGCGTAAGAGGCTGGACGGTGGTGGGGTCGATGGGCGCTCCAGAACAGGATCTGGGGCTGTAGAAAGGATAGGGTCACAGGTGGCATTCCCCGACTGCAGGTTTTTAAGCCTCCTACCTCATTTGTCTCAACCCCTCCCCCCAACACACTCATTATTGTCTACAGAGGAATGAGCCCACTCCAAAAAATTAAGTCCTGCAATGAGGAGTCAAACCATACATCTGTGAAGTCGAAATACCAGTTCCTGCACTATGTTCTGCCCTAGGAGGGGTTACGCCCATACCCACTTCTGACCCTGAGTTTTCAAAGCTTAGCTAGGATTTCCCAGATCCTAAGTTTCATCCCTTCTCCCTGAGTCCTCACCTGGTAGTGGGCTCTGTGGAGGGTCCGCAGGCAGGATAGATGGCTGGAATGGAGGCTGAGAGTCTCCGAGTGTAGGTGGGAGCTGGTGAGCCATTGTCACGGGCTCAGCTCTGGGATGGAGGGGCGATGGGGGAGCTTCGGAGTCCAGATCCCACCTAGGCCAGCACTTCCTTTGTCCCTTAGGGCTTCTGGAGGTGCTACAGAGAAGGAAATGATACATAAATCCCAATGCCTCAGCTACTGGGATGATGACTGTGATCATCCCTTCCCCAGCCCTCTCACCTTTGTGCAGAGAAGAGGCTGGGGCTGTCACTGGCGTAGCTCTGAATATAAATAGGGAAGTTGTGATAAGGCAAGGAAGCCCTCTTTGGCCTCCTCATTCTATGTCTTGATTCATTCGGTCCCCGTATCTGCTTGGATGCATACCAAAGACCTTTTCGTGTAGTTTTATTTTGGCCGGATCTGGAGTTTGAACTCAGAGCCTGAGCACTACGCCTTAGCTTTTTTGCTTAAGGCTAGTGCTTTGATGCTTGAGCCATAGCTCCAGTTTCAGCTTTTTTGCTGATTAATTGGAGATAAAAGAGTCACTTGGGTTTGCCTGCCTTGGCTGGCTTCAAACTCTGATCCTCAGATCTTAGCCTCTTGAGTAGCTAGGATTACAGGTGTGAGCCACCAGCACCCAGCTTCTTTCTATATATTCTTTGCTTTGGTGTAGTATGTGCTACCTAAAATACTAGTGTCCTTGCCAACTCAGATGCAGAACCCAGAGAAAGCCAACCCAGATGCAGAACTCCTCCCCTTGTCTTCTATCCTCACTGGAGTGCTTGCCCCAGCGGAACCTGACATTCTCAATCCAGTTAACATACCTCAGCCTGGAGTCTGGGACTAGTAATGTCTTCCAACACCACTACCAGGGTTGGTTGGGGGCCCTGGTCCACCTTTTGTGAAGCGCTCTCCTCTGGGCCAGGGGTTGTTTGTGATCGCAGCCTTAGAGTAGAAGAGGACCTGTGGATTCGGCTTAAGGGCTCTCGACACAAATGCAGTGAGTCGGGAGGCCTAGAAAAGGAACAGGAACATCAGTGGGCTCAGCTGTGTCCCCAGCCTACTCTCTCTCCTCGCCATGCTCACCTGGCCTGTGAGGACCACTTGACTTGAGGTGGAGAGGCAAGTGACTGACTGCACACAGAATCCTGATGTTTGCTGTGGTGTTGTGGGACAGGTGTATCCCTTTGGGGAACCAAGGGGTGCTAGGAGAAAAAGAAGTGCTGGAATGAGGTTGGATTACACAAGTCTCCCTTTGCCTAACAATGTTCTGAGATACATAGTTGACAGATTTGTGGCTACAATTCACTCAGATCCTTAAAGAAGAGGTGAGATTATCTGAATTAGAGGTCAGATTAATATTAGCATCCTAAGCTACAGGTGTGCTGTAGGTAATCTCTCTCAGGTTGTTTGGAGAACTGAAAAAAGGACGGTAATTTGGGGGGGGGTCCCTGTCCTGTTTTTGTGGGTTGTGGGGCTTAAACTCTGGGCCTGGGCGTTGTCCCAGAGCTCTTCAGCTCAAGGCTAGTGTTCTACCACTTAAGCCATAGTGCCACTTCCAGCTTTTTCTGTTTATATGGTGCTGAGGAATTGAACCCAGGGCCTCATGCATGCAAGGCAA